CAAAAATGCCGGCATTACTCGTGGCTTTTTGTTCACGCTCAAATTTAACACCACTTTTTCGGCACCGCAAGCACAAAATTCCAAAATTTTACTCGGCTGTAGTCATCTTTGCACTGTGCCGAGATGAATTTTAAGCAGTCCATGGCTATCCTACACAGTTCGGTAAGACACCTCACAAGGGAACCGTGTCGAGTCGAAGTGGCCTTTCTATATGAGACCCATACTGCTTTGAAGAGCATTAATCGATGATTCCAAATCTGCTTTCCAAATCTGCCAAGCGCCTCTGGACGCCAAGTTATGCTCGTTTTTCAGGTCAAGAAAATGAACGCAAAACTGAAGCAAAATCGCACAAATTTGCTCAAATGGTCCAGTGTCAAATCTCAGAGCTGTTTATGCAATAAATACATTTTAATTCAATATGCTAATACTTGCCATTGCTTTATCTGAGCACTGGAAAGATTATAATAATCGATTTTACCTAAATTCTGCATTCATTTTTCGTTCCGAAGAACGGTCATAACTCGGGGTCCAGAGGCGCTTGGCAGATTTGGAAAGCGGATTTGGAATCAACGACTAATGCTCTTCAAAGCAGTATGGGTCTCATCTGGAAAGGCCACTTCGACCCGACACGGTTCCCTTGTCAGCTACGTGCTTCGAATTTATTTCAATGCATACCAAACTTTGATGCACTACCAATTACTCGCCGCAGAATTTGCAGTTTGCGAAGGCGTGGGATATAATAGAAACTAGCCTACCGCTAGCGCTTAGCCATTAGGCGAATACTGATCTTTGAGGTCTTAGATGTCGATTTTAATCGAAGAGTGACAGATTTCGGGTAGTTGTTTACAACCGCTTAGCGTTACTTTGCAAAGAATATGCAATCTTCAAAGGTTGCGGATAACGGGATTCCAAATAAGCTATGTCCTTTCAAAAGAAACATAAGCTTGCTGTACACCTTAGAAACTTCAGGACATAACGACTTGAACAGTGTCATCATCTCTTCTTGACCTTAGAATGTACAAGCAAGTACTATGAATATCCTGTACCAGTGCTTTGCGATATACAGGAGCAAGTTGTTGTCCAGCAAGCAATTGGTATGATAGTGCAACGCCTTGATAGTATCAACAGTGCCCACAGCCATTTCTTACGCACAAATGCTGTCGGCAACGCAAGTGCACTACCTAACCGTCAAAAACCTCAGACAATCTCAAGCATACGCAAGTGCTGAAGATGCAAGCAATCATTTATTCTCAGCTTTTCCAGTGAAGAGTTTTACTACTTAGAACCTATTCAATTAAAGAGTGAGCTACTATGCAAATGACTCAACCGTAGCTAGCATAGCAGGAAAAAAAATGCTGTTCGCAAAAGAGGCTTTTGGCTTGCTTTCGTTTGATTCCTTAAGTCGTTTTGTCTTTTCTTCTGTAATTCTTGTTTTAGAATACTTACTACTCTAATAAACGATTCATTCTGACTTGGCCTGGGCCAAGCTTATTATTAGAACGGTACAACCTCCTTCATACTCAAAAGTTATAGCTGACTGGCTTCTATAAAACTTTGTTAATTACTTTGTGTTGAACCATGGTTTCCCCCGCTGACGCTACTAAATAATGTCATCTTTTACGACATCTTTGTAAAGTTCTGCACATGCAATATGACCATTACCTACTATTATTTCGCAAAAACAAGGGTATTATGCTTTACGTCATGATACTAGGTTCCACATCGTTGTTAGCTACATCAGAATGTCTGATGATAGTCATCAAAAGCAATATTCTGCAACAACCAAACTTTTGTATTTCCAGTGAATCATGAATCATAATTGACATTAAAGAGCACGTTCCACCTGCTTCTCTCGACCCACCTAAAGGCACGGCATGACAGCACAGATCACCGCAGTACAAAAAAAATGATTGTCGCTCTCTTGGGAGACTAGCGTAGCTTAGTCTTAGACTGACAAGGGAAGAATATTAAGTCGATATGGCTTTTTCAGATGGGATGTACACGATACTGAAGAGAATATAATACTGATTCCAAATCTGTCTTCCTAATCTTCGTAAATTTGTGGACGAGGAGGTATGAGCGTTTATTGCAGCATAAAAGTGAAAGTGCCTCTAGGATACAATGAGTTGCTAGAATTCTACTAACCCTAAAAGAAAGCAACCAAGTGTGAGATATTTTTTTCTCAGACTATTTATTGAGTGAAGTGCTTGATAATTATCACTGCTCCATCGAAGTGCTAGAAAAAGATTTTACGAGTATTTTTGTTCTGACTGCACCTTCAATTTTTCCTGCAATAAACGCTCACAACTCCTCATTCATAAACAGATTATGTACTAAGGCAACTTTGAAATCAGCATTTTCTGCCCACCAATTTGGTATAAATCCCACCTAAAAAGGCCACTTCGACCAAACATATTATCTTGTTAGAAAATTAGGAAATTAGAGGTAAAGACTTCGAAAGCTTGTCTACGCAAATCACCTGTATTTTTTATTTAGAAAGCGGCTAGGAGGCCTCTTCCGCAGTCTCAGGCCGCAGCTGTATGATTTACTTTGAGCGAATCACGACCCTTAGCTGTCGCCTACCACCGTGCTCCTGAGGCCGAGCAGCGTCCACGAGCAGCGGTGTCGGACGAGTTTAGTCCATTCATAAAAGTTGTCAGGCTGGGCAGTGGCTCATTTGTGGAGTTTCAATCATATTCGTGAGTGGAGTTCTAATGGAATTCCATGAGCAGCACAAGTATTAATATTTGAACACTACCTTCAAGCCTAAGGCCTAAGACATACTTCGTGGATCTAGTCGCTGCGCGATTTGGCACTGCAGCGACTGCTCGTAATTGGTCGTGAACGCGCTTCGCTTGAAGCAGACTCGATGCTTTTGCTACATATCGCTCCAGAAGCCAGAACCGTAAATTCACTGTGGGGAGAACCTCGCCCACTTCTGATTCCTGCGTTAGAGCCCTTCTTCGCCGTTTTTGCACTCTCCAGTGTGGATTTTCGGATTCAGCATAGCGAATAGGTCTGGATAAGCAGAAAATCTCAAAATCGACTTATTGCCCAGACACTGCCTTTGGCCGGGCATACTTACGCGATTTTAGTCGCGACGCGATTTGGCAATTCGCCAGAAGTCTTCAGATCCAATACTAGCAAATTGCACATGTATAGTGTGTATACCTTACGTGGATTGATAAAATGCCCTATCTTTTGTACAGTCAAAATGTGCTTACAGTGAGTTACAGGTAGTTGGAATGTTGCCAAGTCGCTCTGAAATCGTGTAAAGTATGCCCTTTAGGCATGAGGTGAACTTCGAGGAATAAAGTCCTGAACCTTTCCATACTGACAAATTACACTAGAAAGTTAGAAACTGACTGACGAAGTGTGCAATTGCGGTAACTTATGCAGTGTCTGGGTCTTCATAACACAATTTTTTGAACAGCAATTTACTTCAAGTTATATATTGGTTGTACACAATAGGAAATTAATTTACAATTTTGGCAAAACCGGATATCGCAGTAGCCATAACTGATCTACAATACCGCCCACATTTTTTGAAAAAAAGACGCGAATGTATGGACATGTCCATACATCAGTGTCGCGTGGCCATATCTCGCTTCAGAGTGGACGAATTCTGAATCCAAAGCCACCATTCGATTCAGCTCGGCGCGGAGAATCTTTTGATATATTGGAAATGGGGGTACGATGTCTTCGATAATCAGTTTTCAGTTTTTTCAATTTGTTCTGCGGAGGTCCTTTCGCGAATATGTGAAGCAATGCCTACCCAACATAGAAGACTTTGCCAAGTACTACTCGATAATATTGTTGTTGTAGATTGTGCGCTAAAAAGTAGGCTCAGACTTCTTTTCAAATGAGATAGAAGCGTTGATGAATTTTAGAAAAATCACGCGTTTTCAAATTCAACTCGCCATAACTTCCTTCGGAACAAGTATATTTTGAATCCGAAAACAGCGCCTTGCTCAGCTTGCCTCGTACCGTGTATTATAGTTCACGCTCAAAGACTAATTAGAGAAACGAAAGAGACTCTAGTTCGCAAAAGAGCTTTTTCACTAAGATTTTTTAAAGAAAGGAACATTTTATCCGTTCTATCACTTCCAGACGAGTTTTTCGTGCAAAAAGGTGTTTGTAAAAAAACTTAGATCACCAACATCCAGTCCTACACTTCTAATAAAGACCTATCGAATCATTACATTCCCGAATACTCTAGCCTGAGGCGGAACTCCGCTGTCATTGCGAGCGCAAAATACACATCTATTTTTGGAAGGACAATATTTGCTGAAAGACCGCAATAGTCTTGATTTACTCAGACCGAAAAAGCTTTATCGCTCCCACCTCGTTTTTACCCCGGATTTTGCAAAGTCTCGAAATCTCTTCGCAACAACTTTTTTAAAAGCAGAATCTATCGAAATGTCGATTTCCTACAAGTATAAAACTTTGCATAATTTTGTAGCTCTGGAATTTCCTAAGAGTTTTGTAACCTATTCACTCTCCCCTCCCTCTCGCATTACTTCAGATAGTACTTACATAGATTGCTATTATCATAGAAAATTGAGAAGATGTTTCTGAGTGCACTAATGAAGCTGTTTCAAATATAGAAGCAACAGCGAGTTGAGGCAAAAGTGCACTGAAAAAAAATTCCGAGTCTCTTTCCAAAAAGGTGAAGCGGAGACAATCAAGTGCTTTCAGTTTTTTTTTTCACTTAATGATATTAATTAAATTGGAGTTAACATCACAAATCGCACTACTTGATTTCGAGTTCAAAACCAAAACACCCTTTATCATTTATCTTTGTCATTTATATAGTCTAGCAAGTAGCACAGTGCGCACGATGACGTATTCTCAACTTCGATTATAAACCTAGACACTCAATTCTTTATCACAATGACTCTATATTTACAATAGTAAATGAACTAGACAACAAGATTACAAATCCTTCAACAGCTTGTGAAGCAATTGACATATATAGAGATCAGAGACAATACCGAGAAATTCTCTCGTAAAGAAAAAAAAAAGCGGAGATCAAACATGTAGACCCGCTTCTGTCACTTTATATGATTTAGCAAAATACTTTGCTGACATTCGCCATATATTTTGCTTTTAGTAGGAGGCGAGTCCAACATGTCCCAGTTCTTGGCACATTTTCGAGCAACTGGCCAATGTGACGATCTTTCCAGTGATTAGCACGCTGTTCATGACGGTGATGACATGTGCGAATCCCCAATCGTAGAGCGATGGGATGAGGTCGTAGAGAAATGGTAGGAATGACAACAACTGAAATAAGCGCTTTTTTGGTAGTTCGGATTTGGAGGAATCTTTAGAACTTACATGAGAAAACACGAAGCAGACGGTGAGTACGCAGAGGTACGTCAAAATCTTCTTTTTTCTCTGTTCTACAGCATCTTCGACACTGAAAATGGAAAATTTAGTAATTTAATTTCAAAATCTAATTCTTTGTACTATCATTGCCCAACAGTGAGGTAAAATAGTCCTTTTTTAAATAAAAACAATTAGTTGCACAGTCTGCGTCAAACACATACGCCCTTCTGCGCAGGAGTTACGCACCCGCAGCGCGAGGGTCCTGCGTGCGGACTTTCATTTAATAGGGCCACGAATACTTTCGCCACGCGCGCACGAGTGTGACCGAAGTTCTGGCGCCGCGACTGCGCGGATGCAGAAGGGAGTACGCAACTGACGTAAGTTATGGGTTCAACCTTTTTTTTTCTGAAAAAAAAAATTTTTTTTACCTGAACAATTCCCGGCACTCATTGAAAGTTCCAAGTAGCACATTCCTTCGCAGAAGATTTGCATGCTTACGATTTACCAAAATCATAACGATGCAGGGTATGACGATAACTACGATAGCTTGTGTGAGATTGCAGAATTTTATAGCGGCTGGCCTGAGAGAATTGGTGTTGAGCTGAAAACTTCATAATCAGCGTCATTTTGTGCAAATGCGGCAAAGAGCTGACTTACCCTGATTCTCACGACGAGTTTGGTCCCATTACATTTGTAGGCGGTATCGAGTTCGTATAGTACGAAGTGGTAAGCTGTCAGTGCTATCGATGAAACCACAGTAATGACGAGGAAGATGACATAACGTCCATTCAACTCAAAACACTGAAATACTCATTATAAATTCATTTAAGAATAATTCATCAATTCTTAGTTGCTTATATTTCAAATCCTTGCAATAAAAAGGCTATTTTCGATAATTTCGGTGAAAAAATTTATGGGCAAGGAGATCTCTAATCCACTAAACATGCAATTTTCAACAACGTCACAATTACCCCCTTCTGCACGTCATAAATAGCCCCTGCTCACAAGGTAAACGTAGCTGATAGTTGACTAAAATACCTGGCTATTTCCTCTAGCTTAGGTTGACTTAATTACAGCACGTGCTCCTCAAAATGGCAACTTTGGAAAATCACTACTCAAAAAACACATCAGATTCACCTGTCGTAAGATGACAACAAACATTTATGCAAGGATGATCTGTGCTTCTATATTGAAGGAAGTTTCAAGGCCAAATCTTGAGGATTTTGAGGGGTTTTTTTTTTTCGAGACGGGAAAAAATGGGACTACAACGGTGTTTAATTACAAAATAGCAAATGCAGTTCTAAAAGGGTAAAAGTGGAGTGTACTCTCGATGGCAATTTTTTGACTCACTGGATTTTACCCCACTTTTGTTCATATTACATAAATGATTAGATGTATTTCAGCTTAAAAAAGCGATCTCAATGACAATTTTTATCTTAAACACCATCAGTTGTTATTGTTGTTTTCTAATAAGAAACATACCTTAGCAAGCGAAGACGATTTCGAGCGTAGATAGCATTCTACGCAAATTGCTAAAGCGATGAAAATTTCCATAGCAGAAAGAAGATTGGATAGGGCGTTAACGGGGATTTTTGAGTGGTGATAGAAACGCCTGGAAAAATTAGGATGAGATTTGATGAAGGTACCTATGGCTATCTACTTACCTAAAAGCCTCTTCCTCGAAAAACCAGGAAAAACTTCCTAGCGATTGCGGGAGCATGGTTCCGAAGATGAGGACATTGAGAATCGTCAAAACCAGCAGATTTGCTCTGGCCTAAGAAATTTATAGTAAGCCAACTTTCAAACAGGAGAAAATGCGCTGCACTCACCACTATCCTTGTCTGGGCAGACAAAGTTTTCCGTACAATATCATAGATTACAACTCCCAAAACAAGTACTTGTAATGGAAATACGATGTGTTGTATCCAGTAATCAACAGTAGAAATAGTAAGCGGACCACGTTCACATTGCGATGACATGGCTGAAGCTTTGAAAGTTTGTGCTCGAACTTGCAGTCCAAACTCTACACGGATGTTATGGATTTGGTAGTTTATATACAGATCGAGGAGGCGGGAAAGGGGCGTGACGGAGAGAGGCTGAATGGGCGGAGCGGAAGTCAGTGAGTGGGCAGAGATCGAGCAAAGGGGCGTGGACGTGGAATCGCAATGGGCAAGGCTTTATTTGATGTATGATGCAAACATGAGCTTGAACTATTGCGTTATAGCAAAAGATTATACATCAAAAATGAGAATTCGTAATTCACAATATTTTCCAACATCAAAAGATCATTTGTTCTGTCAAATACAGAGTTTAAAAAATCCGTACTTTCTAGGAGTGTTTAAGCACAAAATTACCCGCTGCATATCCCAATGATAAAAGTAGAACAAGGGGAACAGGCAGGAGTGGTTTTCGGATTCCTGTAGCTAAAACTGCTAGAGCGTCTATCACAATCAACTTTAGATTTGCTTTTTGTTTTATACTTAAGAAAAAGTGGTGTGCGGGCGTTTAACGGACAATTATGATCCTAAAAATTTATATCCAACTTTTCGCTTTTGATTCACAGGATCTTTGACTTTTATGATAAAATATTAGGTTGTCCGGAAATTAATGCCCGTTTTGAAATTCAACCGCATTAAGTCATGCACTTCTCATTTCTAAATAGGTTGCAAAGCACCGTTCGATAGAGCAAAGCAAGCTCTACAAAATGGCTATCTTACTTTAGCAACAGCTCTCGTTCACCTCGAGTTTTGAGCCAAAAACTAGAAAGACTCAGCAGCCCGAAAAATCGAAAAAAATCGCAACTCAGTTCATAAAAATCCAACAAAAATTCTTACTTGCTCACGTAAACACTACCCACATAAAACATCTATATACACCTTTGCCGTAATTTTTCCTCTGTTAGGAATCAAGAAAACGGAAATTTTCGTGCATTTGCCAAAGTGGTGTTGTGCAGTTCCCACATAGGTAGTTGTGTACCACAAGCCTGTAGAAATACAGACTTGAATTTTCAGCTTTCTACAAGCTTTAGTTCTCGAGAAATACCGAATATAGCTTTCCTTAGTTAGGTGGCCCAAGCTGAAATTCAAATTTCTCGAGAACCAAAGTTTGTAGAGAGCTGAAAATTTAAGTCTGTACTTTTACAGGCTTGTGGTACACAACTACCTATGTGGGAACTGCACAACACCACTTTGGCAAACGCGCGAAAATTTCCGTTTTCTTGATTTCTAACAGAGGAAAAATTACGGCAAAGGTGTAGATAGATGTTTGATGTGGGTAGTGTTTACGTGAGCAAGTAAGAATTTTTGTAGGATTTTTATGAACTGAGTTACGACTTTTTTCGATTTTTCGGGCTGCTGAGTCTTTTTAGTTTATGGCTCAAAACTCGAGGTGGATGAGAGCTGTTGCACGAAAAGGCCATCTTGTAGAGCTTGCTTTGCTCTATCAAATGGTACTTTGCAACCTATTTAAAATTGAGAAATATATGACTTATTGCGGTTGAAATTCAAAACGGGCATTAATTTCAGGACAACCTAATACTATAGTTGGCCTAGTTACAAACCACAAAAAAATTCTCGGAATTTCTTGAAGCAATTTTCTCATATTTGTGGCAAAAGAATTTTCGCGAACTTTATGTGTACCAAAAAGTACGACAGTTGATAGTAAGAAACGAATAATCAATTGAGTTCAAATATTGTTGCTTATCCCTTGCATGCATGTGCGGTCAAGATTTCAAGAAAAATTCAAAGTTTCCAAATTCCGCAAAATCGAATTCACAGAGCAGAACAAATTTGGAAACGTTTCTCTGCGATCAGCACAGATATCATAGTGAATAGCTTTGAATAGCAAAGTACAAGTTTCCCATAATTCATACTATACATAAATTATACTGCATGAACTCAATATGAGAGAGCGCACAGTAATATGATTCGATACGTCAAAGGTTTTGACGCTCTTGTTTTATCCCTCTTCCTATGTGAATTCTTTGGCTACTCTTTATGCTTGAGACATCTTGCATTTTCTTTGGAAGTATAAAATAAACTTACTGAAACTCATTTTCAGTGATACTTTTTTGCTGAGGATGCCAAGCATAATTCCATCAGAGATCACTTTTTGCTGAGGATGCCAAGCATAATTCCATCAAAGATCACTTGAGCTGCTGCAGTGAGCTATTTACTACACAAATCAAAGTGTCAAAACAAACGTAAGCAGCATTTTTGAATATCCAAAAGCTAACGACAGAGATCACCCTGCAGAGGCGAGGAACTGTCGGTGAACTAGATTTCTCAAACCTTGTTTTGGATATCAACAGAGGTAATCAGAGAAAATATGATCATTTAGTGAAGATCAGGAGTGATCAGAAACGTCATCGTTGTTTTCAAACCACTACCATACATCTTTTATTGTTGTTAAATGCTTTAACTATCCGTATAAATGAGAGGGAAAAATCAGCATGCACTCGTCACCAGAAAAGTAAGTTCGACAACTTTTGAACACTATATTTTACCAGGGACATTCTAAACAAAAAGAATAATTGAAGCCCAAAAATTCTTCCATCATAGCTTCCACCTACTTCATTGACATAGACCGACCAGACTATTCAGCACCTTTCAGATACGGTACCCGCTGAATGGAATTCCTCAAACATTCATCACCAAAGTCACAAAAACATGAGTCACCGTTAGGTCCACTCTCGGAACTCTCTTTACACAATGATGTCATTTCCACTTGTCCAGCACTTAGTGTCCACTGCACCAGGAACTTAATTTGCAAAACACTCTCGACCCGACATCGCTTTAGTGTGTCTTGCTTAATTTACAATTACTACGATGATATCATTTCCTACGCTAGCCGTCAATCAAGCGGTAAAAATTTTACGCGCACAGGTGCGCGTAAAATTTTTATCACTTGATTGACGGCTCAAACAGCGAATGTGTGAGAGCCGATGTGGGTGTATGACGCCATTTTTTGTTAGGCATTCGAAAAATGCGGATTAACATGTGGCAGAAGTAAATTTGATTGCTTTAGCTCTTTGTGACGATGCTTTAGCATCACTCGATATCTGTCAGGACATTCAGGATGATAACCATGCCTGAATTTTCACAATAATGGGGAATCTACTATTTATTAATAATTCTATTGCTAGCTGCAAAAGTAAATGGTAAGGACGGGAACGGAGAGGGAGGGGAATAAACAAGGAAGATGTACGGAGCACATTTTCTTGAGCGTATGCAAGCTTCCACTCTTACTAAAAAGCTATTTTTTTGCTCATACATCTTGAATTTTTGTTCTACCATCTATTTTAGACACGGCGTACTGTACTGTCATTTAAAACGTGATTTAGCTTTTCTTGCAATCCCCTATTGACCATAGCGGCTAGCTTCCTTTTCTATGGAAATCGAAAACTATTATATACCTACAAAGTTCAAAAAAAGCCGTGAAGACCTAAGATCTAGATATTCAAAGGCGCTGAATGTTCTTAATGGAAACCCTTCATACATCGGAGTATTGAGATTTCGATGAACCCGAGTCGCGATCAGAAGAATCATTTTCACATGATCATGTGAGTCATTGCACACACTGTCCAGATTTGGCTTTTCCATCCTGGATTCTTGGAGGAGACAACGCTTCCGGCAATTTTTTAATGTGTTCATAAGGTTTTTTCCCTTTTTAAGTACTAATCACCTCAAAATGATACAAGCAATTAGAATCGGTCAGTCTCTTGAGTTTTTGGCATTGATCCAAGATGAGGACGCCAAAGATGGACGGCGTGTGCAATGCACACGCATGATCATACGAAATGATTCATTCCTATCATCGTCGATTGGATCTTCACCATTGCATTTTGTCAGCCAGTAGAACTTGAATGACTATGAAAGAAAAAGTAAACCATCTCAAAATAGAAACTCAAGAGCAGATGAAGCGTTAAATACTGCTAAGTTAGCAATTAAAAAAAGAGCTCTAGAACTCTGGAAATTTGCCATTTATTTCGCTACAAATTGAATTTCGTCTAAAGCATACGTTTAGCATTCGAAAACGATTCACTCCTTACATTCTCGCATTACATGCATTTCTTTTTACAAAAAAACAAGTTGATGTCCATCTCAGTATTGGCAGTCGTGCCAGTCGACTAAAAAATAAGTACATGCGGAGAAGCTTATTACAAAAAAAAAACTGTTAGTGCCACGAGGTCTGCCTATTTTTTCTTGAAAGGGCATGTTGTAGGAGGATAAGTGCAGCTGACTTGATAAAGCTGATGGAGCGTGGGCAATGATGTTCACGTCACTGAACTTGCTCCAGGATAGCTTCTTTCAAGATAGTATGGCGCTGGAATGACATGCGCAAGCTTTTTTTTTTCAGAGCCATTCATCAAAAGTGCAACTTCTAAGAGCTCTCTAAGTATAGGGGGAAAAACTAAGCAGCTGTTTAGGAGATTACTTCCCGATCTATTTTGCGATATCTAGATTTGCTGAACTGAGGCTCAGTACGAGTGTGGCCTACGTGCTACAAATTATCTACGGGAGAAGACTTAGACTAAATCTTCCACGTCCTTTCTACTGTGCAAAAAGTCGAGCTTCACTTTCAGCGTAACTCATTATGTGTGACTTTTTCGCTGGGACACGCAGGAAAGCGCGCTTCAATTGAACAGTAAATAGGATTTCATAGAAAACTCTTACAACATTAGAGAACTTTTCGTGCCTATGTGGCCCGATTCTCAAGAACAAAATCGCAGTCTCCATCGTCAAAGGAGAATTCCTACAAATCTTACCTACTATATTTCACTTTCATAGTTTTACTAGTTTACCCACAAGACTTGAATCAAATTAGAAAAACGTTGGTTTTGAGTCATTTTCAATATTAGGACTTAGCTTCTGTGCGTTCCGACTCCCATCCCATGAGGATTCCGGAAGTCGTGGGAGTTGAATGTTATGTCCTCAGCATCCCAATAAATTTGAATGACGTCACACAACAAATGCAATAAAC